GCTACTGATCTCTACATATGAGAAGAATGTGAGAAAGTTGTGATATTAACATTTAAACTTAGGATTGTGAAAATAATGAGCTGCTTGGCTCATAAAGAATGTTTGATGACTAGATTTAAAGGGAAGGAAGCCTTTTGCACAAGTCAAACATAATGTTCTTATAATTCTATTATTTCCTCTTGGTGTGTGTTTTGTGCACACATCAAGTGACTGACAGTCTTTCTGTGATCTCTTTGCTCTAGCTGGCTGCAGAGAACACCGTGGTGTCCTTCAACAGAGCCCTGCAGCATGGTGCCAGCTCCTTGGAGGCTGATGTCACCATAAGGTTATAAATCACACATTCACTTTTGTTTGCATTTAATGCATGTAGCTTGTGCTGAAGGTCCACATATGGATCCCATTTGACACGCAGGAATTACGAGAGAAATGTGTGATTCAGATCTGTTGCCCTTCAGTGTTTGGTGATTATTAACACATTTCGCTGCTGCTTTTTCATTTAAACTGCGTTATGTTTAGTTTTCCTATAAATTTTAAAGTGCTTTACTTCTTCCAGTGTCGATGGGGTTCCCTTCCTCATGCGAGACCACACTCTGAGGCGGACCACAGATGTCACTAAGGTGTTTCCAGCCAGACAGTATGAAGATGCCTCCTTTTTCAACTGGACAGAGATCCGCTCTCTCAATGCAGGCCAGTGGTTTTTGGAGGTACTAAAATCCACTTCATCTAAACCCACCTCAAGTCCATCAGCTCTAAAATAAATTTTCCCCTCAAATAGCAAAACTGTGTGTCTCATTTTCCTTTTAGAATTTAAGGGATTAAGATCTAAAATCTGCAGCCGCTTTAAAAATTTTCTAGAACATTTTATCAAAAATAATTTAATGCCGATTTCAAACTGCTACAATAAGCTGCATATAATGTGGAAAGATAAACAAATATGCTCCACCTCAGTGTCTGCCTCGCTCTTGTTTCTTTCCTCTGCTTGTAGAGTGACCCCTACTGGACAGCAGCCTCACTGACAGCGAAGGAGCGGAGCAGAATAGGCAACCAGACGGTTTGCAGTCTGGTGGAAATGCTTCGTCTGGCAGCCAAGGCCGACAGCTCCGCGCTGCTCAACATTCACAAACCTCCACCAGAGCACCCACGCTACCGCAGCTGGTTCATGGACACGCTGCGGGCTGTGCAGAAAGCGGGGATTCCCCTGAAGAGGGTGAGGACCGTAGCTCCCTCCACAATAATCCTTTAGCCTGTAGTAGTGTTCCCCCTTTAAACACACTAAATATTAAATATTATAAATAATCCAATAAGGAAATGATTCTGTGAATTGTTGTGACAAATCTTTTAATTGTTTTCCTTAAATACTGTATACCAGTGTATGACAGCTTACGATATTATAATAAGCACCTTCTCGCGAAGCATTTAAAACTACATTTTGTCTGATCTGGGTCTTTCCATGTGATGTGTGTTTGTCCCAGGTGACGTGGACCCCCGACACAGACAGGGGGAGGGTGCGAGGGCTTCACCAGACCACAAGTGAGAAGCTGTCAGTGGAAGCGATAAGGCAGAGAGGAATTACAAGTCTGACCCTCCACTACAGCAAGGCTAGCCACAAAGAGCTACAGTAAGAGCAAGCAGCTGCTACTAAGCAAAGGAAAAAAGGCTCAGAAGAACCCTAAAGAAATGTCAAAGGAGGCGTTTTGTGTTATTTTAAGCAAAATAAAAAAACAACAACAATTTACAAACCTAAGTGTTTGCTTAACTTGTCCTGTAGCTTGATAAAGTGTATTTAAAAGGGGAACTAATCCCTGAAACAGTTGAATATAGTTAACACTAAAGGGAATATCTACTCACTGGTTTTGGATTTAAAAAGCTCACTATTTCTGCTCGAGGTTAGCTGCTTCAAGTGACATTTGTCAGTACCAAGCTCAGGGCTCCAGGGCTGAAGAATTACACCAAAAATGACCTAAAAGTGCTAAAATCTGAACTTCCTCTAGTGGTTAACGTTAAGCTGGCTCCAAAGGTGAGTCAGTCCTCAGAGACTCTCATGTCAAACGATCCATTTTTACATCATTAGAAAGTGGTAGAGTTAGTGCCCCGTTCATTGACAGCAGTCTACGGATGATCTGATATCGTCGTGTTGGTGTTGTTCCCAGATCATCATGAAAATGTTGTTCCAGGTTCAACATTGCAAGTGACCAATCACATTATTGTGACGTTATTCTTTTGCGCACCAACCCATTCGTGCATTTATAAAATTCCAATGTTGCAAGGACAATATCAATTCTGCTTAGGGTCAGGGTTAGGGTCTGTTGATCGGCGGACAAAGGCGGTTTCTCGCAGCTTAAGTACAGTTTTTTGTTTTACGCCGGTTTTTCCCGAAGTCGCAAAAGTATGACATCACAACATTCTGATTGGTCACTTGCAATGTTGATCCTGGAACAACCTTTAGTATGATGATCTGGGAACAACACCAACACGAGGATATCAGATCGTGCGCAGTCTACTGGGTGCTGTGTCTTTAAACAGGCGAGTTAAACTGCCAACTACCTAGACTTTGGTTACCTTGCATTACATTTGCTCTACAATGTTAAACTTGGAGGATGTATTCTACACAGCACCTAAGAAAAAAAAAGTCAGTTTTCTTTGAATTAGCAAAAACTTGTTTTATAAGAACAGAACAGTCTGGTCAATGAGCTACACCCACGTAAGCCCAGCAGAATTACACTGTTATGGTCCTTGAACACAAGCTCTACCCTCCTCTGGGACCTCTGTTGCAGCTTTAGATGAAACAAAGTCAGCTTCACGATGCACACAATATTTTCCAGTGGCTGCAGAATGATAAGAGGTGAATGTTGACAAGGGAGTAAAGAGGTGAAATGAAGTGGACCTCTCTTTCTCTCTTTTCAGTGCTGACTTGTATTTTTCTTTCCCCCAGGGAGTACCTGGCCAATAATGTGAGTGTGACTGTCTACCCGGTGAATGAGCCCTGGCTCTACTCCATTCTGTGGTGTAGTGGGGTGCCTTCTGTGTCTTCTGATGCCCCCCATGTCCTCCGAAAGGTGCCTTATCCCATCTGGCTCATGGTAAACAGCTCTCCGTTCTTTCAATAGATGCAACACACACACGCACAGTGCACAAGCAAACAAGGTCACGCATCGAGACGAAAGGACAGCAGGAGAGCGGACAGAGACTGACGATGGCCCAGCAAGACTTGAGGGCTAAGGCGCAGAGAAATATGAGCCGAGCAGCGGGCTTTAGGTGCACTGTGACATTATAGAACAAAAGGACCCTGGCAAAAAAAGTCTGAGAAAATCTAAGACAAGGGCACAGATCTGAAGAAAACTGCAGCCTTACTCAAGACATGAGTGTTTATGGGGACCTCTGATGGCAATGAGCAGAAACGACTCTTCTTCTCCTGTCTTGCAGAGCCAGAGCGCTTACAACTTCATCTGGATGACTTCAGATCTAGTGTCCGTCGCCATAGTCATAGGGGTTTTCTTTTTTCAGAAGTAAGTACAACACATACATGTAATGAACAGGGACTTTAAACACAGTATAACGCAATAATAATTTAATGAATACCAGCCAAGTGA